AAGCTCCTGCTAAGACCTTGGCCGTACAGCACTGTTTGCTTAGAATCTTCCTGAAATGCCTGGGTTTAGGAGTAAACTGTTATTTCCAAATCCTTTGCAAAGCCCAGTCCAAGGAGGACCCTAGAAGAGCCTCTGGGCATGCGCCTTTTCCTCATGGCTCTACCACCTCACTTGTCACCTGACTCTTGCTAGAGCTATCCACGTGTGTTTCCGCTGTGTTCTTCAGAGCAGGATTCCTGCCTGGCATTTTATGATTGGGGGTGTTGGCTGCATTTGTTTATTGGTTGGGCGAGAGGATGGAAATGGAAACCATGCAACCAGATGCAAAACTCTGATGAGGATACTAGCCATGGGAGCCAAGCAGATTGCATGAGTCATATGCCTTATTTTTCTACGAAGAGGAGTTGTAATCAGCAGCAAGCCACGTGGCTTGTTGATTATGGTTTTGGAGCTTACGTTTGCTCAAATATGTTCACACCCTGAAGCAATGCTCCAAGCAACTTCTAATCCTGCAGTGGGATAGCTAAGACATTTGTGTTACTTTGTTTATAAATATAAATAAATTTCCATAAATATCAGGGCATGAGAAACCAATTTTCTCCATCAAGGGGAAACCAAATATTTGGACGAAGATGCAGAAGAAGTGAGATCCATCTCTTGCTAAAAATCACTTTTGAGTTTTCAAGAAAAAGAGGAAGCTTTGTTTTACCCTCTTGGGTTTTGCTGAAAATCGAGGACTTTCTCAAATATTTTTGACGTAAAAGATTATCTTTCAATAAAAGACGATACGCCCATGGAAGTCCGAATTTCGACAAAGTATCCTGCAGTGGAACTTGGGCGATTAGGTACCCAGGGGTTTTGTGGGATTCAACTTTTGGGGGTAAACAAACACAAGTATTCGTCCTCCTAAGGGTGGGGGCGGTCCTTTCGTGATGCACCAATCACAGCGCGACCCGCTCTATATAAAGCCGGGGAGGCACGTTCATTTCCTGTCTTTCCCTGGTAGGTACCTCCTGACTGATCTCCTAGCTGCGATGTCTGAGACAGCGCCTGCGGTGCCAGCTGATCCCGTTCCTGTGCCTATGGAGAAGCCTCCACCCAAGAAAAGAGGGAGGAAGCCTGGTGGCCAGCCAAGTACCAGCCGCAAGGCCCCAAGCCCCTCCTTGTCCAAGCTGATCACCGAGGCCCTGTCAACGGCACAGGAGCGGGTGGGCATGTCTCTGGCCGCCCTCAAGAAGGCACTTGCTACAGCTGGCTATGACGTGGAGAAGAACAACAACCGCATCAAGTCGGGCCTCAAAAGCTTAGTGGAAAAGGGGGTCCTAGTGCAGACCCGGGGCACCGGCGCCACGGGCTCCTTCAAGCTCAGCAAGAAGGCTGCTCCTGAGCCCGCCAAGGGCAAAGCCAAAAAGCCCGCCTCCAGCAAAACCAAGAAGCTGGCTTTGCCCAAGGACTCCAAGTCTACAAATGGCTCCAAGAAGAAAGGCAAGAAGCAAAGGACGGCGGGTGAGAAGAAAGCGGCCAGAGGCGGCAAGAAGGGCAAAGGCGTCAAGGCCAAGCAACAGCGGAAGAGTCCCTCGAAAGGCCGGCCTGTGAAACGAAAAGCTGGGAATGCCAAACGGACCCAGCAGAAAATAAACCCTCGGAAAGCGGCACTGAAG